CGCGCGGTTCAGTATCGGATAGATTACTTTTTTCGTGGAAACAGCACGTGTTTTAATATGATTCATTATCAGCGACGGCGACTCGCTCGAGTTTCTTCGATCTCGGGTAATCTCTTTCGCGAATCTCACATGTCGATGGAATTTCGAAAAACTTTTACGATTTCGAGCTACGATCAAACGCGAAATATTCGTATTTCAATCGAAATAATTATTAACAATCCAAGCCTGGGATAAATATAGAAAACTGTGAAATTCTTTCCATCTAAAGAACTGTTATAAATTATTCTTCTCTAATCGAATTTCACGGAAAAATCCCCTCTAATTAATAATTACAGAAAAGTAAAAAGACTGATTACAGAAAAATAGAGAAACAAGTGATTGAAAAAAAATCGACGAAATAAGAGAACGAAAGAAATGAAATTGCGAAGAAAAATTGCCCCTTGAAATTATTTTTCGAATCAATGGGAATAAGAGCCGTGAATAAAATATTTTCAAACAACTTCTAGAAATCTCTAGAGGCACTTGCTCTAGAACGATCTTCTCACGAATTCAGGGAAATTGTCGGATGATCGATCCTCGAGTTGTTCGTGAACGAAAATTACACGGCTACGTGAACGGTTCGACCCATTGGGTGCTTTTTCTCGACCGTATCATATTGACCAACGTGTGTAAGCCAGCGCAAAGGATGTCACGTAAAGAATCCTCGTATACGTGGCCCAACCGAGTGTTTCCGCATATACCTAGAGACGCGGTTGTCATACCTACAACCCGCTGCGTGTATGGATCGTTACCAGCGGAACACAGCATAGAACGCAGGGGGAAAATGTACTCGAGCACCGGGGATCGAGCAACGTGACCAATGGACAACTCTCTTCTAGCTCGAATAACTCGAGATTTTCACGCGGGGAATTGCCATCTCCAGAAATCACGAGTTCTCTGATAAAAAACGACGCGAGAAATGTCACCTCGGGAATTTGATCCATGGATGTTAAGGGTAAGGGGAGATTTTTATGGAGAAATTGGTAATTTACTGACTTTTCGGAATAAAAATGAAATAAGGGACACTTCTTCCAAAAATTCAGATGTTTTGTAATTAAAAGGAAACGAGGAGTACTGTTTTCATGGGTAATGGGAGATTTGGTAATTTACAGAAATGGAGACTTTTCGGAATAAAAATGAAATAAGGGACACTTCTTCCAAAAATTCAGATGTTTTGTAATTAAAAGGAAACGAGGAGTACTGTTTTCATGGGTAATGGGAGATTTGGTAATTTACAGAAATGGAGACTTTTCGGAATAAAAATGGAATAAGAAATGTTGGCCCAAAAATTGAGACGTTTTATAATAAAGATGAAACGAGAAATACTACACTAAAAATTTGATCCATAGATATTAGGATAATAGAAGATTTGGTAATTTACAGAAATGGAGATTTTTAGGAGATGAGAAACACTTCCCCCAAAACCGAGATTTTCCAGAATAAAAATGTAATAAGAAACGTCCGCAAAAATGGAAAATTGATCCATAGACACTCTGATTTCAACGCAAAAACCGGTCATCTCCAGGAACACAAATTTCTCACAACAGAAGTAAACTAAACGCCTTCTCCCAAAGTTAGAAAATTAATTCTCTCTTGCCGTATGCAATAACAGTTCTGGTATTCAACTCTTACTGCCATTAAACAGTAAACAGCAATTTAAAAATGGCCAAAAACAGAGTTAACCAGCTTCCGGCATCCAAGTCTTCCGTAGAAAAGTAAAATTCGGTGATTTCGTTGCTGGTAAAGTGTGTAAAGCGGCAGACCGGGGGGCCACCATCTCGTGAAACGTTAATTGGAACGTTTGCTTTCGAGGGTGAGAAAAGGGAGCGGTTCGCTCTCCGTGCCACGCCCTAATTCCCCTTTCCCCGTGAAAATGTCCTTTTCCTCGCTTGTTACCCACCAACAGCGTCCTACCCTTGAACCTGTACCAATATCACATCGTACGATTCAATTGTTCAACAGTTATCTCGAAAAAAAGAAGATTCGTGTCTCAGGTGGACTTTCTTCATATCAGTGACGCTTGATCGAGATTAAACGAAATCTTCAGAGCTAAGAAAATGTGTCGTTACTCCGACCAATTACAGTCTTCGTGATTTTCAGCTATTTGCAAGTTCATTTAATTTGCGAATCAGTTAATTATCAGATATACCGATGCACGATGATCTTAATTTAGCGAAAAAATGTTTATCAATTTTCCAAGAATCCTTCACTTTCTTTTCTCACATCTCCGTTAACGAGAATTCTAACTAGAACATTCCACTTCCTGTCTCAGTATAAATCAACGAACTAATCGCTCACGAAATGCAGAAAATTCATGCAAAGCCAAAGAAAGAAACCCCCGAAAATCAGTCTGAAATTAAAAATGGCGAACAAATAAAAAAGAGAACTTCAACTAAAATCTTCCAATTCCAAGAAGGCAGCGATGTGGATCAAACGACAGAACCTAATCCAAATTTCACACTACGCTAACTTCAAAGTTTGTTCAGCTGTGAATCATCGCCAAGTTTCTCGAAAACACCCAAATTACGATCTCACTGCTTCCTAAACTGCACGCCGCATAGATTTCTCGCACTTCGTCTAAACTACACACCTCTAAATTTCCATCTAACATATCGCGCGTATCACTGAACCAACCGTAATCGAACATGCCAAATTATATTTAGACAAGCCTATACATCAATGGATTACATCTTTATTTCAGCAAAAGTCGCTATTATATCCCACTTGGACCAAAATCGGTCATTTTCACGAGTTCGCTATATGTACTTCCATTCTATGTCGTCGAATACCTCAATTCCCGGATAAGAAAAAAAAACGACAATTTTATTGCTCGGCGAGGTAGACTGGTTAGGCGAACCGATCCTCGAAGATCGTCAGTCCTTCCATGGGAACGGTTCGACAGATAATTTCTCAGATAAGAAAACGGTCTGAGGAGGTCCTTATCTAAGTGGACTTGGACTGGCTTCGTTCCTCTCTCTGCCATCGATAGATTAGAGAATTCAGACACGTCAGCGTCGCCGCGAGATTCGCCTCCGCGCCTCTGGTCTCCTCCTCTCTCCACGGACGAATCGCGCGGCGGAGATCGAGCGGCGCCGAAAAAAAATCGATACCGAGCTTCCTGGAAACTGGGCTGGCTTGCTCTCTGGCTGGCTGGGCTTGCTTACCTCGTTGGTCGTTCTGGCAAAGGTGCGATTGCGTCATCGGCGATCCGCGTAATCTCGTTATCTCGTAAGCTTTCGTTCCGCGGACGCGAATTTTAGAACTCTGCTTTCGTGGACGCCGCGGGAAACACGGGATTTCTGACCACGAATGATTTTCTTTTCTTTTTATCTCCAATTGGAACCGCCGATTCCCTCTGTGTATCTATGGTTTTTGATGGTAATAATTTTTTAAAATTAGATCTCTCAAGACTGATTTGAAATTCTCTCCGTGTAGGTATCTAAAATTTCTCTTTAAACTAGAATACTCGAGAGTGACTTGAAATTCTCTCTGTGTATCTAATTTTTTAATAACAACAACGAGAGTAATTTGAAAAAAATTAGAATACCGAAGGATTACTTCAGGTTTTCTCTGCCTCTCTGTATATTTTTCGATAATAGTAAGTTTCTTTTTAAATCAGAGCACTGAAGGATTATTCCAGACTCCCTCTGTGACGAAACAATAATTTCAGCAATAATAACAACGATTGTTTTCACGTTAACGGAGATTATTCTACACTCGTTGCGATCACTATTATTACCGAAAAGTATAAATACACCGAGAGAGCCTCGAATAATTCTCGAGTCGCACGGAGAAGATTTAGACGCAGAATTTCTGTGATTGGAGAGTTATTGCAGTGGTCTATGCGGATTGGAAGAGATCAGAATTAGCATACGTACGTGAGCAGAGATTCAGATAGAGGTAAGTGGAGCAAGCAACATTTTTGATGTTGAATGATACAACACACAACCAAGGGTCGCGTTTTCTCCAAGGGAGAGTCCTAGAACTCTTCAATTTACAGATTCCAGCTTAGAAATTTCCAAGTCATTAGTCTAATCCTTCTTTTGAAAATACTTGCATGGAATTCTTAACGATGCACCAATTAGTCAATCTAGTCCAATGTATTACAATACAACTTTACAACATTTCTCTGCCTGACACGTATCGACCAGACCGGATTAAGTCTGCGACGTTGTTAACTAGAATTACGATTATTAGAAGAAGAATTGCGAGAATCGATGAAAAATAGGAGAAGTACCATCTGAAATCTGAATTGGAACACTGCTCTCCTCCACCATCCGCATCAGCCATTTTCAACTCGCGACGAAACGCAGTCCCCGGTAACATTGACACGCGAATTTCAATGGAGAACGTGCGCCGCGTTCTTGAAACGAAAATCCCATTACACGCAGACTTAATGGAGACACCGATAGGCATCGATATTTTCTGTGTTAATCGAGAATAGAGCGAGCGAGAAAGAGAGAGAGAGAGATAGGCGCGAGACAACGGTCACGAACGATAATATCCCCCTCTCTATTGCTCCTCTTCTTTTGTTGTACACTCAGCTCGCTCATTAGCCATCGAATTTCGGTCGTTTCCCCGCATCCTGTTGCCTTTTCAGCCGAAATATTCCCAGGCCTCTGATAAATCGCCGCTAACGCCGCGTTAGCTCGAGCCAAAAAAACAATAGACGCCTCTAGCTGGAGCCGCCATCGAAGAAAATCCAAATTCTTCTACTACTATTGCTTCTTTCTTTTAACCTTTCTAACATAGAACACGTTCGATCTATATAATATTTCAGAATTCAGAGGAATCGTGTGTGGTAAGCGTCTTGCAATCTCTAGATGATAAAGATTGCCCTCTTTGCTAAGTGTACGAAAGGGAGATCCAAGGCGATTCGAGATAAACGAGGAAGTAAGAAAATCCCTTATCGTCGAGAGCATGATCGTGGGCAATGAGGAAGATGGGCTAAAGAGACGTACCTTTCGTCGAGTAATCCATGCTTCCCTCAGCGTCAGCGTCGCGGTCGACTCATGGAGTCCCAAGGTCGGTCCCGGCACTTAACATCCAAACAAACGTTGTACGTTGCACTTAACACGCGGCTGCTCCGCCATGGGGCCACACACGCGAATCCCGTGAAACTCCTTTTCCTTTTTTACAGTCACCAAAACAATACTTCCAAGCTGATCCACGTTTCAAATCTCGATCGAACGAGAAAAAGAAAGGAAAGGAAAAAAAAAAGGAGCGAAAAGTAAATTGTTCCTCCTCCGTTGTTATCGATCTCGTTCGAGACGAGGAAACGTCACGAAAAAGGTCCTCCACAGTCAGCCTCCGTGGCTTAGCTATCGTTCCTCCATCCGGCACCACACTCCACCAAGTCTCACACCACCATCGTGTCTCAGTTTCCGGTTCACGTACGTGGATACTGTTTTTCAGTCTCTCTTTCAAAAATCCCCGCACACTTGCCCCTTGTATGTCTCGTGACGTCACACCGAACTAACTACCGGTCCAAGGACCGAACGATCCTCCGTGTCGCTCGAGAGGGAGAGAAGAAAAAGGAACCAAGTGTCAGAGGACAACTCTCCGTCGTTGCACACAGAGAGAGAGAGGACACGAGCGTGTAATTCGTACAATCACGAGTACGCTAAGGAGAGACACGCGAGACGTCGAGAGGGGGAGAGAGAATCAGGAGAAGAACGCGCAAGGTCCATGAGAACAGGTCACGACGGGCCGACTCACCGCGGAGAAGTGACACGGCGCTTCTGACAATTTCTCTCAGGCTACGCGCAAGAGCCTCATCATCCCTCCTACCTGGCCCCTCTGACTCTATCCCTTCCTCTTTCTCTCTCTTACACACGCCAGGCACAGCGCGCCGCCGT